ACATTTGCATTTTCACTGGCTTTAGGAATTTGTAATTGTTTTAGTCAAGCATTGTGCACACTATATCTCAGGAAGCAGGCAAATGCTACTCAAACATTGTTTTATTAACATCACCATGTTAGTCCAATACTCGTCTGCAATGTTATCACAGCACTGAAATGTATTTTCATGCTATTGCACGTACAGTATAGTGCAAACAAAACAAATATTGTTTTACATTGGACCCTGTGGGAAATGAAGAGCAAATGGAGACTGGAGAAAAGACATCTCAAAGTGTGCCCAGATTTACCGAAATATTAAAGTTTTAAATCAAAAGAGATTCCAATAAAATATATCTTTCATTATCAATAACACACAACACTTCTCATCAAATCTTCTGAGCTGGTATCCACATTTATTTCCATATTCATTATGCGTGTCAACAATTGTATAATTTGTAGCTTTATTTCTCCTGAGGAATTTTTGGAGAAACATAAAGTTAAAACAAATAAATCTCCGTTTGAACTTTGAAAGAGCCACTGAGCAATAATTTGTCCTTTGGATTTATTTAGCATTCACACACATGGAGAGGCCAGTGTTTATTGAGGAATGTGGTGAGGAAATGGGTTTGATAAGCCTCATATCTAACTTGTACAGTGGACTAAGTTTCACAACACTTATCAGACTGTTAACGCTACTGAATTATCCAAAGGAGATTAAATACGGGAAAGGTGTGGGGAGCTGTGGGGAGTTTCTGTTTCTTCTCCTGCCAGACAGCACACAACAATATGAAACACTATCCCCAAATTCATTTGGTGCAGCCAGAAGTGAAACCATAAACATTTAAACACATGCAGAGGGCCTATTCATCAGACCAGTGTCAATATGAATCATTGATTTTAAGTTATTTAAATCTTCCAATAGCTTTAGATTTCAACATCTAAGTCCATTTACTCATGTCAAATCATTTTATCAAAATTTTGTGTATATCTGCCTGTATGTGCAGACTGTAATTGAATACCAGTAATTTGCAGTTGTCAGACAGCGGGCAAAAAAACATCTCATTTTCTCATCCTTTGATCTTTCTTCATTCTGAAAGTCTTTTCATAGCTATGTGTGTGTATTCACACATTTGTCTCTGCTAAAATGGTGCAAGATGTGCTTTAGAGTGTCTGTGAAACATTTGCTGTGTGAGGGCAATAAGTGACAGTGAAGAGAGTATTTTATTACTGTAACCACTGTTCTTGCAGTACAGATTGGATATTGGTTAGATTTGGTTTGTGGCTACAGTGCACCCTCTGCTGGTATACAATGTAAACAAAACAAATATTAACACTATTTTGCTTGAATTCAATGTGTAACGTATTGCCTTGCACAACGACCAAATCAAATATTTAATACTGAATAATGACTGATCTGTCTGCCATCTAGTTCTTATTATTATGATCATCATCACCTCAAAATCAATTGATCAAATCAATTGATCAAATTACGTTTAAAACTATGTTTTATCTTTTTATTCTCAATAACCACAATTATTCCCAATGATCCTTTTCATTAGTCTATAATTACTGTAATACAATAATAAATGTCTAGAAACCAAGATTTTTTTAAAAAAGATTACAGCCAGTAAAAATTAAATACCAAATCCTGAATAATGTTTTACCTTTGTTATTGTCACTGAGTGCGTTTATATGCACGTTCCTTGTCTTTGATTATATTCCCGCAATACTGGAGGCTGCAGTTTTAGGACCGTAGTTCTAGGACCCTAGTTTTTTGTGACCGCCCCTTAGTGGAAGAAAATTATACTTTATTTTATTTGAAATATATTCCCCTTTTCAATAGTTCATTGCAAATATACTAACAAAAAAATTGACTTCTTTAAATATAATAAAAGTATAAAACAAATATTTAAAAATATATTAAAAGCATATTAGCATCATGCTTTTATCTATTTTCACAATATAACTTTTAAAACACTTTAAAATAACTGTATTTTAGTTTATTATTATTATTATATTAAGTGAAAATTCAGTTAATTTTTTAAGTGTATTTATTTGCACTTTATTCATACTATATTTTAGGTATATTTTAACTGTCCTGAAAATTGTAACAATGTATTGGTTGTACACTTTCAAAATACATTATAGTATACAATAGTATTTAGTTCCTTAAGAACCAATGAGGTTCATTATCAATGTTACTCAGAATGTTTGAGCTTCCTCAATAACCAATGAGGTTCATTCTCATGCGTTACACAGCACTTTTTAGCTTCTGTGAAAACCAATGAGGTTCATTCTCGTGTTACGTGGCACGTTTGAGCATCCTCAAGAACCAGTGAGGTTCATTCTCATTAGGGGTGGGGGGAAAAAAATCGATTCTCAGATTCATCGCGATGCGAACGCGGACAATTCTGAATCGATTCACAAATGTCAAAAATCGATATATATATATATATATATATATATATTTAGAGATATATATTTGTATATATTTATAATAACATAATATTGACGGAACGCAAAAGACAGAAATCTGAAGCACATAATACAGTGGCCGGACCATCTGGGGCGTGCACAAAACAGAGTTTCGATGGCTAAATGTGGGAAATCCAAACACCCTGCGCGTTAAAAGCTGACGGGTGGAAATATTTTGGCTTCTGTGAAGTTGAAGGGGGAAAGGAGCTGGACAAGAACCACACTATTTGTAACTATTTGAGGTTTATTCTCATGTTACGCAGCACGTTTGCGCTTCAGCAAGAACCAATGAGGTTCATTCTCGGGTTACGCTGCACTTTCGCACTTTCTCAAGAACCGATGAGGTTCATTCTCATGTTAGACAGCACGTTTGAGCTTCGGCAGGAACCAATGAGGTTCATTCTTGTGTTATTCTGCACGTTTTTACTTCCTCTAGAACCGATGAGGTTCATTCTCAAGTTACGTAGAGCGTTTGAGCTTCTTCAAGAACCAATGATGTTCATTCTCAAGTTACGCAGCACGTTTGTCCTTCCTCAAGAACCAAGGGGGTTCATTCTCAAGTTACGTAGAGCGTTTGTCCTTCCTCAAGAACCAATGAGGTTCATTCTCAAGTTACGCAGCACGTTTGAGCTTCTTCAAGAACCAATGAGGTTCATTCTCAAGTTACGCAGCATGTTTGAGCTTCTTCAAGAACCAGTGAGATTCATTCTCAAGTTACGCAGCACGTTTGTCCTTCCTCAAGAACCAAGGGGGTTCATTCTCATGCTATGCACCATGTTTGTGCTTCCTCAAGACCCAATAAGGATCATTTTCATGTTAGACAGCACGTTTGAGCTTCGGCAGGAACCAATGAGGTTCATTCTTGTGTTATTCTGCACGTTTTTACTTCCTCTAGAACCGATGAGGTTCATTCTCGAATTACATAGAACATTTGAGCTTCTTCAAGAACCAATGAGGTTCTTTCTCAAGTTACGTAGAACGTTTGAGTTTCCTCAAGAACCAATGAGATTCATTCTCATGTTACGTAGAACGTTTGAGTTTCCTCAAGAACCAATGATGTTCTTTCTCAAGTTACGTAGAACGTTTGAGCTTCCTCAAGAACCAATGATGTTCTTTCTCAAGTTACGTAGAACTTTTGCGTTTCCTCAAGAACCAATGAGGTTCATTCTCAAGTTACGTAGAACGTTTGAGTTTCCTCAAGAACCAATGATGTTCTTTCTCAAGTTACGTAGAACGTTTGAGTTTCCTCAAGAACCAATGATGTTCTTTCTCAAGTTACGTAGAACGTTTGAGTTTCCTCAAGAACCAATGATGTTCTTTCTCATGTTACGTAGAACGTTTGAGTTTCCTCAAGAACCAATGATGTTCTTTCTCAAGTTACGTAGAACGTTTGAGTTTCCTCAAGAACCAATGATGTTCTTTCTCAAGTTACGTAGAACGTTTGAGTTTCCTCAAGAACCAATGATGTTCTTTCTCAAGTTACGTAGAACGTTTGAGTTTCCTCAAGAACCAATGATGTTCTTTCTCATGTTACGTAGAACGTTTGAGTTTCCTCAAGAACCAATGATGTTCTTTCTCAAGTTACGTAGAACGTTTGAGTTTCCTCAAGAACCAATGATGTTCTTTCTCAAGTTACGTAGAACGTTTGAGTTTCCTCAAGAACCAATGATGTTCTTTCTCAAGTTACGTAGAACGTTTGAGCTTCCTCAAGAACCAATGATGTTCTTTCTCAAGTTACGTAGAACTTTTGAGTTTCCTCAAGAACCAATAAGGGTTAATTCTCAGGTTACGTAGAACGTTTGAGTTTCCTCAAGAACCAATGAGGTTCATTCTCATGTTACGTAGAACGTTTGAGTTTCCTCAAGAACCAATGATGTTCTTTCTCAAGTTACGTAGAACGTTTGAGTTTCCTCAAGAACCAATGATGTTCTTTCTCAAGTTACGTAGAACGTTTGAGTTTCCTCAAGAACCAATGAGGTTCATTCTCAAGTTACGCAGCACGTTTGTCCTTCCTCAAGAACCAATGATGTTCATTTTCATGTTACGCAGCACGTTTGAGGGGGGATTTTACATTAATTTTACATAACATTAATATTCAGATGAAATTACAAAATGTTTAATTGTGTAGCCATTCATCAAGTGCTGAGATTAGATGTTGTACCATCTATGGTGAGGAGAAAAAAATAAAGGTGGGGGGCCATCTTACCTGATGTACAGTTGTAGAAACGTCAAATGTAACAGAGAACAAAATGTCTAACTTGTAATTCCTCCCTGATGAGCTCTAAACTATATCTACCAAATGTGACTCCTCTTTTCTGACTTAGCTTGAGATCAAATATCCCAAAATCCTTTAGACATCCATTTACATCTTCTGACTCAATGAGCAGTAACGTTCATAAATTATTGCTGTTGACGAAAAAAACTTCAAGTCATGTAACTCTTTAGTGCCTTGCATGCGCTGCACGTCTGAGCTCTGCCCACAGTTCTCAATGATGTTGAGGCCCAGCTTTGCCTCAGGACAATTGAGAGACTGCACAACAAAGGCTGTGAGTGGTCTTTGATGCTCGAAGGAGCAAATGTCCTATGTGAACTCTTCAACAAGGTAAAGTATGCAATAATTTTGTTTTATAATAAATAGGTTAATATATTTTACTCACCCATATGTCTTTTGTATGGCCGATGCTTTCATGGACGACGATCTTCTGAAGTGTTCCTGTGATGAGAAAGTAATGCAAGTTTGAAACGACATGAGGTGAGTAAATGGCAGCAATTTTCCGACAAATAAATGAACACACAAGTTATTCATATAAATATGTAATGCTATTTTCACCTGCAATGCATTAGTAAATTAACAACATTGCTTGCTCTTTAGCTAACTACAGAATCTAGCTGTTAGTTATCTATTATTTAGATTTCTTATCACTGAAATGAACTGAGACCATCAGCTGTGTGATGCAACCATTCTGTATTCAAATGCCATGTCACAGAAAATGATGAGCCTGCCTGAGGAAACTGTTCATAAATAACCATAAGCATTTGTATTTGTTGATATTTCAATGCATTATTTTATGTGGAGCTCTCATTCTGTTAAGCTGGACCTGTTACAATGCAAACGTTTTCCACAAGCAGCTAAGTTCCTTTGCAAATCTGTCAATTAGCCTCACATCATTACTAGAAATAACATTTATTAGCATTTTAGTGCTGTGCAAAGCATGGTTGCACAAGTGATACCTTTTACAAGTGTGGCATTACCCACTGGAAAGTAAAACCACAAATGAGATCTCTTTAATCTCAAAGTTTCTCCAAAACGGCACTGAGGTTAAATGGAGACTTTGGCGCTTCTTGCATTTCACGCCTAAGAAAAAAGGCGTAATCTCACAAATGTCTCATTTGAAACATAACCAAGAACTTAATTAAATGTGACCACAAAAACTATTATCAGCGATGCGGTGACCCTTTCCTGTAAATGAGAGATATTACGTAAGCATTAAAGGGTTAGTTCACCCAAAAATGAAAATTAAGTCTTTAATTACTCACCCCCATGCTGAACCAACCCCGTAAGACCATCGTTCATCTTCAAAACACAAATGAAGATATTTTTGATTAAATTTGAGAGCTGTCTCACTACCACATTGGCTGCCTAAGGGACGGCCCAGAAAGTCAATGAAGAAAACGTTTAAATATTCCATGTGACTACCGTGGCTCAACTATAAGTTTATCAAGCGACGAGAATACTTTTTGTGCGAAAAAAACAAACAAAAATAACGACTTTCTTCGACTATTCATTTTCTTCCTTGTTGGCCTGAAACGAGACTTCAATACGATTTCCACGACGCATGCGCGACAAACTGAACTGAAGTAGTTAAAGGAGATCGCAATTCTCGCGCATGCGTCGTGGAAATCGTATTGAAGTCTCGTTTCAGGCCAACAAGGAAGAAAAGGAATAGTCGAATAAAGTCGTTATTTTTGTTTGTTTTTTCGCACAAAAAGTAGTCTCGTCGCTTGATAAACTTATAGTTGAGCCACTGTAGTCACATGGGATATTTAAACGTTTTCTTCATTGATTTTCTGGGCCGTCAAGAGCCAGTCCCTTAGGCAGTCTATGTGGTAGTTATACAGCTCTCAAATTTAATCAAAAATATCTTCATTTGTGTTCCGAAGACGAACGAAGGTCTTACGGGGTTGGTACAGCATGTGGGTGAGTAATTAATGACTTAATTTTCATTTTTGGGTGAACTAACCCTTTAACACAAGCACTTAGGCAGAAACACACACAATGACCAACAAAAACAGGACAAAATCTGTTTTCGTACTTCAGCCGAAAGAGAAACAGTTGTTGCAAGAAGTTTAGCAGTCAAAGTAGCTTCAGAAAGATGGGTGGGAACTAAAAGCTACTGTTCTGTTCCTTTCATCTCACACACACACAGAGAGAGAGAGAGAGAGAGAGAGAGAGAGAGACTCTAGGTGTTCTCCTCCTCTCTAAAGCTCTCCTAATTGGCCACATGCTGAGTAATGTGACCAATGAGTTTCAGGGCCGGCTCTCTTCATTGAATGTGTGTGTTTGTTGTAGTCCCTCGGTGCATCTGATTCTTTGGTGTCTCCTACAGAAGTATCTGGATTGGTTTTACCCTCTGGCCGAGGATCTACGGTTCCTCACAAGCTAGATCCCACTTGAACTTGTCAGAAGATTTCACACTTCGTCTGAAAACTCTGAGGAATCCTTAATAAACCCCAAAGAGAGAAATTTGGTGAGTAAAACAGGATATTTAATGCTCTGTGAGAGAGATCATTAGATTAGATTTATAGCGAGAAAAGAAAAATAGAAGATTTTTTTCCTTGGGTGACCATGACCAATCACAATCTCAGAAGACAAACTCTCTATTGAAAGCAAATCAGCATCCGGATCAGCACAGGGCAGTGTTTGTGTTTGCATGTGTTAGTGAATCATTGTTTATTCATCAAGGATGCATTTTGGGTCATCTATGTTTTTTTGTCTCGAAGGAATAGTTCAACTCAAAACAAAAATGAGATCATTTACTAACCATCATGTCATTACAATATGACTTTTCTTCTTCCATGGAACACAAAAGATGATTTGTTAAAAAATATATCCAGGCCATTAATGAAAGCCAATGGGTGACAAGATCCAAAAAGACAAAAATAGAACCATAAAAGTAGCCAATATGACTTTTGCACTGTAAAAAAACTGAATTGTGTCTTCCCTTTCTTTATTTTTATTGCACTATATCCCTCACGCTAAGCTATCATATGAGTCATATGGACTATTTTTGTAGAATTTATAATAATTTGAAGTGTTTGAGCCTTTTTTCTGTGAATCAGGCTCCTTTTTCACATAGAAAAAGATGGCAGAGATTCTTAAATTAATTAGTTTTGTATTTCCAAGGTAGATTTTAGGGGAAATGTTCTTAAAATATTCAAATCTCTCTGTTCTCTTCTCCCTCTTTCCTGACTCTCATCAGACACACACACACACACACACACACAGAACACTTGAAATAATCATTTACCCATGAGCACACCAGACTCATTTGCACTCTGACACATTGAACTGTGTGCAGTGGAGAGTCACTCAGTTTTAATCAGACCAAATCTTTGGTTAAACTCGAAACTAAAGTCACCAAAACAAAACACATTGTTTCCATTCTAGTTCATCTTGAAGTTCACAAAAGTAAACCATGCACAACATATGCTAAAGTTCAGCAGTTACAGTGCTTACAGTAACTGGCAGCAAATCCAACCATATCAAACCAACACACACACACATTCTTGTACATCTATCTTTGTGAGGACATTCATTGACACAATGCAATCTCCAGCTCCTTTCCCTAACCCTACCCATCACAACTAAGGCTACGTTCAGACCGTCAGTCCAAATCCATTTTTTGTGCATATCCGATTGAAATCCGTTCAGATTTAGCAAGTGTGAACGGCAAAAAAAAAATCACATGAAACACGATTTTAACAAATCTGTTTCGAGCGTCAGACGTTGTTTTGGGAAACATGCAGAAACAAGGTTGCAAAGTGCCGGATGAGCAGAAAATGACAATATACTGTATTGCAGACATGTTTTGCAAAACCGGCGGAGACGACAGCATGGACTAAAGCCGGTTCTGCCGCTGCCTCAGAGGACATCCAGAGGGTAGTCCAGCGCAGTGGCTACACATTGTCATGTTGTAAATAAGGACATTTCTGTGTTGCAAACCCCTCCATGTTGTGGTTGTTGTTGTTTTTGGCGTATGCCTACCAATTGACATAGAAACCAATACAGGTTTTATAGATAACACAGTTGCGAAACACAGTGTGGACAGTCAATCATTTTAGATCCGATTCCAATCGGATACACAAAAAACTTGGATTTGGAGAGACAGTGTGAACGTAGCCTAAATTCCTAACCTGAACCCTTACCTTAAACCTACTGTACCCTTAACCTGATTATAACCTTATCCCTAAAACCCTAAAGTCTTGACCTTTAAAGGAGTAGTTCACTTTTAGAAAAACTTTTGCTGATAATTTACTCACCCCCATGTCATCCAAGATGTCCACGTCTTTCTTTCTTAAATCAAAAAGAAATTAAGGTTTTTGCTGAAAACATTCCAGGATTTTCTCCATATAATGGACTTCAATGGGAACCAAACGGTTCGAGGTCCAAATGAGAGTTTCAGTGCAAACTGTTCAAAAGGCTTTAAACGATGCCAGACGATGAATAAGGGTCTTATCAAGGACCCTTCGAGTCACGACTCGGAAAAAGATTTGTTCATTTTGATGAACGAGTTCGAACAGGAGAGTCACGAACGCCAACGCATTCTCACCCCAAGGCGTCACCTTTGACCATGCTTCAATATTTGACGTTTTAGGCGCCCTTTAGCGTCACTTACATGACGCGATCCTACGGCGTCATCTAACTGACGCTAAAGGAAAGCGTCAGTTAGAGGACGCGGTTAGGTTTAGGTGTGGGGTGGGGGTAGGGTACACGCGATCCTAGGGCGTCATCTAACTGACGCTAAAGGGCGCCTAAAGCGTCAGATATTGAAGCATGTCCAAATGCTTCCCATGGCGTCAGTTAAGTGACGCCTTGGGGGTGAGAATGGGCTGCGAACGCACATTACAGAACAGAGCAAGGCGAGAATTTGTGCTTATAAAACTTAAACTTTGTTTTGTTTTTTTGTTTTTTTAAATGAGCGATCGTTTCGCTTGATAAGACCCTTATTCATCGCCTGGTGTTGTTTAAAGCCCTTTGAACAGTTTGCACTGAAACTGTCATTTGGACCTTGAACCGTTTGGTTCCCAGTGAAGTCCATTATATGGAGATAATCCTGGAATGTTTTCATCAAAAACCTTCATTTCTTTTCGACTGAAGAAAGAATGACATGGACATCTTGGATGACATGAATTATCAGTAAAAGTTTTTTTTAAAGTGAACTACTCCTTTAAACACTTCACTAAATTCTCACTCTCTCTACTCATCTTCAACGGTCTAAATCTCAAACTGGTTCTCACAAAGATAGTTGCACTGACCATACACACACATGCAAACACACACACACAAGCAAAGGTCAAGGTTAATCTTATATCCTGGAATCAGCAACTCATTGTTTTGCTTTTGTTTCTCATGTGTCGAAGTAACCATTCACAAGGTGAGGTGTCAATGAGATATAGCTTAATAATTGCAGAGCCCGGTGAGATGTCAATCAAAGATATGACTGATGAAAGGGGGGGATCAAAGAAAATAAAGAACTGCTAGAAAACCAATCCTGAAATACAAAGAAAATGATGTACTTAGTTAGATTTCAATCAAACTAGATGTATTCAGTTTTTAAAAATCAAATTTAAGTAATTTGTAAATGTTTAACCAATAGCAACAGAAGTATCCTGACATAAATGTGTAAAAAGCCCTGTTTGCTAATATGTATCATGATAAAATCCCATGGTATGAAAAAATACAAAAGAACATTTACATGCAAGCTTATAAAAAGCTATTTTTCACACTAACTCAGTCCAGTCTGTAAATTTGACCAGCGTCACACTGTCAACTGAAAGCCCATCATTCTTAAACTAATGAAATCTAGTGAAGACAAGGGTTATTTAAGATAAATTATTATGGTTAATAAAACAATATGGTTAAGTGGCAATGACTCATTTTACATCAGCAAAGTGTTTGTGTAAGTGAATGGCATTACTACATATGCAGTTAACAGATTAACAGATATAAACTGAGGAACACAATACATAAAGAGAGATGTGTTTTATCGCCCCGTGGCCAGACGCGATCACATGAAGAACATGAGCCGCAAACACGCACTATCTACAAGACGTACCTCACAGTCTACCGTGATTCATCATGTGATGAATTTTCTCACGAAGTTTAGGTCATGACGTACAGGAAATATTCATGGCCTTGTCTAATAAAAAGTACTTCATGGAGAGGGACCCGAGGTAACAGTGGATGAACTGATCCAGAATGAACTAGTGTCTCCAGTATAGCCTACAGTTTAATTCAGTTCAAAGACTTTTAGTTTGTATTTCTTCAGCTCATGCCTTCCTTTGTTTGATTTCCCGCCACTCTTTAATCACCATAGGCACATCATTATTGGTTTATTTATTCAAGCTGTGTTCCATTAATACTTGGTTTAGTTCACTATTTAGTTGTAGCCATCTTCACTATTTGTCTGGTCATGAACACATTTAGTTTACCTGTTTTTGATTATTCCCAAAACTTTGTTGAGAACTTTATTCATCTATCTGTATGCAAACACCCTGTGACAACTAGAACCTTCAATTAAAATACGAAAAAGTTATAATTTATAATTTAATAAACTGTTAATAAATTAATAAATAAACTATTAATTAACTTATACGTTTTTTTTTAAAGAAATGTTTATGTTTACCAAAGCTGTTTTAATTTGATATTGTGAACAATTATTACAATTTATAATTTTCCTTTTTAGTATAATTTAAAATGTAGCTAATTTATTTATGTGATGCCTGAATTTTCAGCATCATTTTTCCAGTCTGCAGAGTCACATTGTCACAATTTTGGGGTTTGTGTCTTGTGTTTTTGTCTGTCATGTGATTCCCTGTTTGCCATGTGTCTTGTTAATTGATCATTGTTCCCAGGTGTTTCTTATTAGCCACTCCGCCTTGTTATCTTGTTTGCTTATGTATTTAAGCCCTTTTTTTAGTTCAGTCTTTGTGAGTTGTTGTTGTTGTGATGTCGTTATGTTGCGGTCTCCTTGTTCTTGTCCTGAGTTTCTGTGGATTACCTGTTTGTTTAATTAAATTGTGCTTGCATTTGGATCCTACTTCCTCCTTCTCTGCTGCTGCGTTACACACACGATCCTTTAGAAATCTGATGATGATTTGCTCCTCAAGAAAAATGTATGATTATTATCAATATTAAAAACAACAGTGCTGCTTCATTTATTTTTATTTTTTGGGAAACCATGCACTGTAAAAAAAAATATTTTCATGATTTGTAATCACAACATTTTGTCTTTTATCAAATCAACTTAAATAATTTATGTAGTTCAGATAACATAATATTTTGAGTTTCTAATCTCCATTGTATTAACTCAATTTTTCCATTTAAATGAACTTTTTAAGGCAACCAGGTTACTTCATTTTTTAAATTAAACCAAAAATATTTTTTTACAGTGTGGTAAGTTGTTTTCATGATTCTTTAATAAATGGGAAACAATTATTTTGTATTATTATAAATGTATTTACTATCCATTTCATGCATCCTTGTAGAATTAAAGTATTAATGTCTCTAAATAAAAATCTTAATGACCCTATATATATATATATATATATATATATATATATATATATATTCTCCTAGTAAATATATGTATATATGACCATGGTCAGGCTATAATATTGATTCTAGCAAGAATTTGAAAAGATTTAAAGCAAACCAAGGTCATTTTTCCTCATTTAAGAAAACATCCTGAAGTGGAACATTCCCTCTCCTCATCGGAGAACCCGGAGGGCAAGTTAACATTTGTTAAATTAAAATGTGACACTTTCTTCTTCTTTACAGTTTAACCACAAGCTCTGGCATCCAAACACGCTCAGTCGTGTGCCGGGATAATATTTACAGACACAAAGGGACTGAAACCCTATTCTTCATCAGGTTCTATAGCACACAATCTAACTCCATTAATTAATGTGACACGATGAAAAAACATTGTGCTACTGGAGTTCTTTTTTATTATTATTTCAGTGCTTTGCTTTTTAGTGTCAGACTAATTACTTGCCGTCGTCTGGTAGAGAGAGAGAGACAGCGAAAAAAGAGTGGATTAAACACACATTCCTGCTGTCCCTTCCACACACACACCCCACTGAGAAACATCACCAATTAAATCACCTGGCAGTTGAAACGGCAGATTTTTTAATTGAAATGTTAAAGGAATAGTTCACCCGAAAATCTGTCATTATTATGCCTCATGTAGTTCCAAACACAAAAGGAAACTCCGCTATGGTGTTGAACATTTACAACTTATGCACTAAATATAAGTTTCTTGAAGCAATCCATTAGCTTTAAACTAAAACAGATTTCAATATTATGTATATGCTAATATGTTGCTTTTATTTGTATATGTTTAATTCTTATGTTTGGTACATTTTTAATCTGCAAATGAAATTTTAGAGCTTTAATAGAAAATTAATGATTATCAGTGGAAAAAGAGCTTTAAATTAAGTCTGTTCCTCACAAAACCGACCTGGTTTAAATGCTTCAAAATGTCTCCGTTTTGTTTCACAGACCTAAATAACAGGTAAGCATACAGGTTTGGAATTCATTTTAACAGACAGAATTTGAATTCTTTTGGAGGTTGATCTATTCCCTGAAGAACATCTGATTTTCATATGTAAATGTGTAGAAATGTGCAGCTGATATCTGGTTTGCTTTGCGCATCTTTCCAGTTGCCAGCCGCTTGCAAACTTCTGTCACCATGACAAGCACCACCAGTGACCAAAAGGCCGTCTCCTGCCCCCTGATGGCCAAACCTCATCGCCAGCGTCTGGTCAACAAGGACGGGCGGAGCCTGATGCAAGGCAGTGCCCCGGGCTACAAGGAGACGTGGTTAGGTGCCATGCGGGACATGTGGGGGACGTGGCTGGCGCTGCGGTGGCGATGGGTGGTGCTGGCGTTCTGTGGCTCCTTCCTGCTTCACTGGCTGCTGTTCGCAGTGTTGTGGTACCTGCTCGCCCGGGTCAACGGGGACCTGGATGTGCCCAACCACGACTCCCCACCGCCTGGACACGTGCTGTGCGTCAAACACGTGACGGGCTTCTCCGCCGCCTTCTCTTTTGCTCTCGAGACGCAGCTGACCATCGGGTACGGCACCATGTACCCCAACGCTGACTGTCCAACCGCCATAGCGCTGCTCGCCCTGCAGATGCTGCTGGGACTCATGCTGGAGGCCTTCATCACCGGTACACTCCACAGTCTTCTACTTTACTATAGAAATATGCATCAGGTCTAGAAGATTTGAAGATTTCAAATGAGTCAAGTTTAGGTTAGGTTAAAAGGATGTTCCAGGTTCAGTACAAGTTAAACTCTTTTTAACTAAAAGTTAAAAAGTTTTAGGTGAATTATGGAGAATCTTGGGAGGATTTTAATACACTGATGATGATTGTAAAGAGCACATATTACAAGCTTAACGTGTCTTGCCCACTAAAATCATGTTAACATGCATATTCCCATTAATTAATAATTAATATATTTATGTGTGCGTGTAAATGTTTATCAAACTTTAGAATCACACAAAGACTTAGCTAAAGGCTTTAGGTGAATGTACAGTAAGTCATGTGAATCCTGGTTCACATGATTTAAGGTCAAAGATAAATGCAAATAGAAGAGTCATTGATGAATATATTTATTTAAAAAAAACTCATCGTGAGAACTTTGCCTCTGAACAATGGAGTAATTAATGTAAATGCATCACAATTCTGGCTTTGTATTGAGCAGATGATCATGAAGCCCTCGGAAATGACCTGTAGATGTCCTGCTATTGAACTCAACAATAAATGGTACTTGTGTTCTAAGTCTTTTTAGGGTCATATTGTAGATATTAAATACCTAGATTGCAGTTCATCTGCAAAAGTACATAAACATATCCGCCTGATTGGAAACGTTAAAACCATCCATAATCACAAGCAAGTGAATTAACAGATGCAACATGTTGACAGTGACAACTGGTTGATTAGTTATTACCTCTGATGAACGTCTCAGATGATTATGACTGTAAATGTGGTTTGAGAGGGGGAACAAGACACTGAGTCTTGGATGGATGCTATCGGGAACAAATACCCACTCTGCCATACCGCAGGGATGCTTTCCTCATTAGGTGAAACTATTTCAGTGGGCATAGCATACATTGACTCAACCTTCCATCCGGGTGAAGTATGTACATAGACCGTCTAGTCATAGCGTTCCCTGAGCCATTATCTTCCCAAAAAAATAGAAGATCTCTTAGCTGCTATGCCTCTAAAGTAGGGGAAGTCCTGGTCTCACTGGAAACTTCCTCCGTCCCCAGCGGGCTACTGTATCCCCAAAAGGCAGAGCTCTACGGAAAGAAATGGCCAGGTTGGGACAGCCTTTTCTCATCTGAGACAGCTCTTAGGAAATGCCCTTCCACAAGGTTATTTTTTCTTTTCTTTTTTCCCCCCCAATATTCCACTATCAACCAAGACAATACATCTGCTTCTGAGGAAAATGTACCTTAATGTCCATGTACTGTGGCACAGTAATAGCAAAATACTTTAATGCAACAAATGCAAACAAATTCTTGCAATAAACCTATCCCTCAGGCAACCACAGGAGAGCTGCTTCTCCATTAAATTACCCTATAGAAGAAGGGGAGAGATCACACCTTGGAATATCGCCTTTCCTTATTTTGTGTGTGGGGCAAAAACCTCTACTCGCTAACCTGGATGACTGAGATAAAGGAGGGCAAGGGACCCTACTTAAATATCCAAAGTAGATGGGGAGGGCCACCTCACTCAATCCTAGGGCTCAAAGTGCAGCTTACCTAAGGGAGCCATGCTGTCTTTTTTTTAACTCTCTGATAGTGCTGCTTCTCCAAAGGGGAGCCTTGAGTAGAGATAGGCTCAACCCCGAGAGCCACAGTGTAGTCTAGCCTTATTTTAAGACCCTTGAAATCTGGGGAGGCAACTCAAACTCTGCTCTATGTAAAATATTTTTCTAGGAGGAGGGTGCTCCTTAAGCAAACTTTCTCAACTCATTAGCATTGCCGAATTAGAAGGGAAAAGCTTGCTAGAGATACAACGCCTGCTAGATACAGCTCTTATTCTTTTTTAAAGCGCTGGACCACATTGAGTGACAGACAAGAAGGAGGGACGGCCCCTAGGTGAACTTCCTCAACTCATTAGTGTTGTCAACTCACATGAGAGATAAACAGGTCAGTCAGGCATTGAATAACACACTTTTCAGGGAAGCAAACCCCTACTTAGAAACCCATTGCAGTAGTTGGGGAGGGGGAGCAAACTAAATAGCAGGATTACAAATGGCTATGATATTTTGTTTTCTTTTGCATTGACCTGAAAAGAGGAATCAAAAAGGAGAGCGATCCCAACTATGTTTAGAAAGGAACATGTTCAGTATACTCAACCCAAGGAGAAAACTTTAATTGTGCCACCGTAGGGGAGCACTGAGCCTCGATGAAAAGAGTATACTATATTAATATACTTCATCTTCTCTACCCTATCACAATGTGTAGGCGGCAACCATAGGGAGCCGTAATTCATGTAGTGGGAAACACTTAATAAGATTAGTATAAAACAAGATCCACCACCCAAATTGTATTCAGCCTCTCCGTACCCAGGTTCCAACACCTGTACTATTTCCTTATTTAAACACCCAATTTATCTGAGGAAGGAAAGAGAGTGCTTGCCTCTCAATAGCCGAGTTTCCACTGCCGGCCCAAAAGCAGGTGTGCTAGTGTGTGCCAGGGCCACTCACGTTTCCACTGTCACTATCGGGGCTTGATTGAGCCTCGTCCAGGCTTGCTCGGGGCAAATGGCCAAGATTTTATTGGCCTGCCTAATACCTTGGTCCAAAGTGGGCAAACAGGGGCTTGAGGAGTGCAGAGTTTACCCGGCAGAGTTTACCCGAGTCAGGAGATCATCTCCCATATTGTTATATCAGGCTACCAGCTAACTTCTAGATAGAAGAAGGAGGAAAGATACTATTTATCATCAGCATTCGTGTCCTTACCAAAGTGCTTCTTATTAATCACTTCCCTGAGATCTTGTCTTTTCTTACTCGTGTTTCTCCTCCTGTGCGTTCTCCCTCAGGCCCTGCCTCCAGTCCTCGGGTGTGGGATGTATTTCCTGAATGCTGCCAAATTAGCCCTCTCCTCTCTTAACTTTCCCAAAACTTTCTCAACAAATATGTCAAAGAGGTCAGTGGGCGAGACTGGGGCATCGAGAGGAAAATTCTTTCCTTTCTCCCTGATGTCTGCCAAGTTCAGCCACAGATGCCTCTCCATGACCACACGACCGATAGCATTGTTTAGCCAGCCAGAGAGCTAGATCCATGGTGCGGAAGCAACTGCTTCCGGGGACAGTCCTTGGCCCTGATCCAGATCTTTTAGCAGATCTGCCTGGTAGGCCTGCAACACCGCAATGGAGAGATAGCTCGCATATATAAATATAGTTTATAAATCCGGACTACACGGGTCCTCGGGCGGCAGTGGTTCATTTAGGTTGTCTACAAACCAGAAGGTTGGTGGTTCAATCCCCGGTTCCACCTGACCAAGTGTCGAGGTGTCCATGAGCAAGACACCTAACCCCTGCTCCCGACGAGCTGGATGGCGCCTTGCATGGCTGACACCGCTGTCGGTGTATGAATGAGTGAGTGAATGGGTGAATGTGAGGCAAAATGTAAAGCTCTTTGGTGGCCATTGGGTCTGTAAAAGCGCTGCAGTCCATTTACTATTCCTGACATCCAGACATTCCTCGTAAGCGGGGCTGGCAGATTGAGAAGACTCAGTACACACTTACCTTGCCTTCTTAAACCACATCCGCTTCCTCTTGGCTGGATGGTACCAACAACATGCTATCTGCTGGATCGGATGACTTGAGAGAAAGCACATCCTGATCCGACTGATCGCTCGAGCCCACGATCGAGGCGCGAGAAAGAGTCAACTCTTTCTCGAACTCCTCGGCCAGCTCGACCTGTGATCCCCACGAACGAAGCCTCTGGTTTGCCTGGGCTTTTCCCACATCAATCGAGAATACGGACAAACATGAACAGAGCTTTCTCATTGTGAATTTCCCACAATGGGCACATTCAGAACTCTCAAGCACTGAAGATGCATGATCCTCTCCCAAGCAATAACCACACAGGTTGTATGTCCGCAGGTTTCAAAAACCTGGGAAATGGAGGCACACTTCCTAAAACGTGGCCCAGGGGTGAATAACACACTCTACATGCTGCCATCTTGCCTCAATTGCACTCAGCTCTGAATACAGGTTTTGTTAGCCAGCCAATCAGCTGAGCTGCAAATGCCATGTGATTCATGTGACTCAACTATATTGTGATTTGTCATCAAAGACAGCAGACAAGGAGGCGACTCTACAGTATATACACTTTCTTAAAACATTTACTATAGTTAAATGATACATTTCCTTTCTTTCAAAAAAATGTATTGACTGTCAATGGAGAAAGATTTTAGTTACAGAATCTACCAGCAGGGGTCAGTCAAAACACGACTTCTGACCAGGATTGAGCAAAATTCAGAATTTAAGAATTATGAGTGTGAATTTGAAATTAACTGCCCCACAGAAAATAGAATTGGAGAGAAATCCAACAGTTAATAGCATTGTGGGGTGAAAAAAATAGAAATAAGTATATAACACAGATACAAATTTCTATTGGTGACATTTCTAACAACTCTGTAAGGACTTTTTAGACACTTATAAACTATCATTCAAGACTTCATTCAAGCAACATTCAAACTTTGTCTTGACGAACTTACCTTTTCCAAAAATTATTATTATAATTAATTTACTTTATTTATGCAGTTTTATTTTACTTTTTTAAATGTTCAATCCAAAACTTGTTTCTGTCACTTCACAGGTGAATTTGTGGTTTTGTTATTGTTTTTTAATTATTTAATTATTTGCTCCTTTTCATTCTATTTCCTTAAATTCAAATTCTTTGTCTGCTCCATCAGGTGCATTTGTGGCAAAGTTTTCCCGCTCTCAGAAGCGCTGTGATGGGATCCTGTTCAGCCCTCAGGCCGTAGTGTGCGAGGTCAGAGGTCGGCGCTGTTTGATGTTCCGCGTGTGTAACCTGCTTCCAAGGCCGCTGGTGGACGTGTACGTGAGCGCCGTTCTCTACGAAGAACGTGGTGATCACGAACTCCACCAAACTGCACTGGAATTCAGCGTTGATAACCTGGGGTCACGACCTTGCCCTCTTTTTCTGTCACCCTTGACCTTTTTTCACCCCCTATCTCCCTCCAGCTCCCTAAACAACACCCCAACCAACCAATCACACTTTGAGTTAGTGGTGTTCCTCACCGCCTCTCAGGAGAGCACGGGTTCTGGCTACCACAAGAGGACGTCCTACCTGCCCGACGAGATCCAGTACGGCAGCTGCTTCACCAGGGTGACGTCTCTGCACGGAAAAGGCCGGAACAAAACCAAAAGCATGCGCTATTTTGACATGCAGCCCTGTCCGCTCACACTCCCCAACACACACACCACAGACACACTGGAGAAAGAACACGTGGTGGTCCAGATTAACGGGGAAGGCAGTGACCGGGTGGAGTAGCAGAGGTTGTGTTTTTATGCATGGGTGTATAAAAAGTGTATTTCATATCATAACACAACCTTCAATGTATGACTTTTTTTATCCTAAAAGACAACCTCGGTTAGTTATGATCTGTTATGTTACTCCGTCCCAATAAGAAACCATTTTTGCTGCTATGGACATAATGATTCACACTTGCATCCTTCAGTACTTCTGAACAAACCATGACAGATGTTTAAGACCATGTCTTCATCTGGAAATTACAGGAATCTCCAGTGATTTATTATGATCATTTTTCACCCTGAATCCACTGACACCACACAACCATCATGTTTGAGCCCTTATTTATTTGGCACCTGGATATTGTTATTGCGTTATCTATCTGACTCAGAGGTTTCAATTTATAATTATTAAAGCCCTACATGGACAGGTTTCATCCTGGTTCATAAAGTGTTTTTATCAAAATACATGAATGTTAGAGAAATTCACCCAAAAATGAAAACGTATTTACTTTGCCTTGTTTCATGTACATTAACACCCCTATTAAGTGCCTCACCAAAGTCATTAAATGGACATTTGGATCGATAGATCAAACACTGTACTGAACATTAACAATGATGTAAATAATAAAGTATATACATAAATAAATAGATTATTTACTAGATTATTTTTGGGAAATAAAAATCACAACATTATCAGTGCAATGCAATCTATGCAATAAAACAAAATACATTAGATCAATCGTATTGGTGGCGCAACACTGTATGATTTGTTTACTGTAGAAATGATATAGCACATGCTGTCTGTCACTCAGAAAAGGCTGATTACTAATAGGCCTATATGTATATTATAAAGCTTGATTGTTAAACTCTGGAAGGCTGGAAAGAATTGTGTAGTAGTTTAGTTTTCTGCCACTAATAAAGCTACACTGAGTGGCAACTAATCTGTAAAAGAAACGCCTTTATTTTGATATGTGAAGCACCAAAACTGGATTAAAATATCTGTGAAAATATTGTGGTTGCGTTTTTTAAAATGTTTTTTTTTTTTTTTTTATCAAAACAGAACAATGTATGCCTTTCATGTAAGCAATAAGGTACATACCAGAGGCTGTGGTGGTGTATCGTGAATAAGTAGCGGCTGAACTGAAGAGCGTTGTTTGGCACGACGCGATGCGGAGCAATACATTTTTAAAAAAAAACTTTAATATTTTTTGTGAGGTACCGTTTTATAATAGCAATAAGGTACTCTCTGTAGCAATAAGGAACAGAGAGTACCTTATTGCTTTTATAAAACGGTTACCACGTAATAAAAGTATTAAAGTAAAAAAAAAAAAAAACAATTAGTGCAACTTTCATGAAGTAAAATCACTAAAAGCCTTCCTTCCGCTAGAAAAAATAGTCCCTGACCGTGAACAGCAACAACCCAATGTGTAATATGCATGAAGGCTCAAATAAAAACAACATACCAACTGCAGTGTTGTGCAGTGATAAATAGAACCGTTGGGTGAAGCGGTCATAGCCGTATTTTATTATGAATAAAGGACAGCTATTGACCAATCAGAATCAAGGACTGGAACTAACCAATCCTACAGAGTCCTTCATACAAGTGGTGCCACTTCCGACAAAATAAATGTCAGGGATTTCACAGTTATTCCATTTTGGACATTTGCAATAAAACAGATTAAAGATTAAAATATATATTTGTTGAAAAATACAGGCTTTAATAGGCTTTATGTAATTGGCAAAAACAAGAGAGTTACAGGTCGATATTATGAACATCTGATACAATACAATTTACTTAACAACAAACATATATTTAGGTGACAGATATGTAGAAAAACAAGCTAACAAAAAGAAAAAGGAGCAAAATGCATGATTCAAATCTATAAAAAATAAACATATTTCTTGACCCTTTGTTTCCTTTGTTTTTTCTCTCTGTTGGTCATAATCAATATTTAGTCCACGACACCAACTATTTAAAATTATGATTAGCACTTTACAATAAACTTCTTGTTTCTAAAAATATAGAGTTGCTTAGATGATTAAAATAGTCTATTAGAGTTTATTCTGTTTATGTCCTACATTACAAGACTCCTGAAATTTCACTCGCTTCATCTCTCGCTTCAGCCGTCTCCAGTGAAACTAATTCCTCATGCATATTTCAGGATAGCTGTACGCCACTAATAACGCTAATGATACTTGTTCAGTGTTACGCTGAGGTTTTGATTACACCTATATGTGTGAGGTACGAGAAGCAGTGTGTGTGCATGCGTGCTTGTGCTTCTGTGCAAGTCAGATGTGCTCTCTAATAGGCATAGATCTTTGTTTATGTTTATGATCTTGGGAGTTTTATGAACAGAAGGTCGACTGCAGCTCTTTAAACGCGGCGCGCCGTTCTTTTCTTTCAAGCTCCATCCTCTTTTTCTCTTCTTGTTCCTCTCGTATCTCCGCCTCGAACTTACTGCGCACAGACAGGGCCTGAACCTACCACAAACATGGACAAAGCACAATTCAATTATGTATTACAACATAAAAATAACTGCATTGTTTTGCTGTAGTCATGCTAAAACACTTTTAAATCAGTAAAATGACAATTGTATATCGCAGGCTTATTCGTTGGATGTGTTATTCACATCCACATATTTAAAAAATGTAATTCACTGAAATAAAGCTTATATATATATATATATATATATATACAGTATATATTACAAAGATATATATATATATATATATATATATATATATATATATATTACAAAGAAATATATATATATATATATATATATTAATATATATTTCTTTGTAATATATATATATATATATATATAATATTAATATTAATATAAAAATAATAAATATTAAAAATAAATATATATATTAGAAGAAAGATTTAAAGGTAAAAAAAAAATAATAGAAATTTGCCTTAGAAATTAACTGAAATTGAGAAGATTAAATATATATAAAATCACTGAAACTGAAATTAATATAAATTAAATCTAAATAGAAATATATGTATATTAAAAAAACTGTTGAAAATGAAAAAAGTACATGAGAAAATTATTAAAGCAAACTACAATTAAAATGAAAAATGAAAATATAAAAATGAAAAATAACTGTTTAAATACTATAATAGTTTACAAAAAATGAAAAATAATAATATATAATATAATATGAGGTATGCATAACAATATTAAAATACAACAATAAAAGTACACTGATATGATGCTTCACAAATGTACACATATATTTATACATTATATTTAATACAATGAATAATAATATTTTAAAAGGTTAACATTCATTAAAATAGAATTTGTTAAAAGTTCAAGCATTAGATAAGAATAGTGTAAATATTTCGGCTATTTGCCTTTGTCAGTGTTACTTTATGACATAGGGGTTCAAAAATATTCACAAATCCAATGTAACCCTCTCTAACCGAGTGTGTGTTCATATACTTACACTATATGAACACAAGGGGGAGACTGAGGCCAAAAATAATCTTCTGAAGAGCATGGGAATAGTGCTTGCATCAAAACTCTCTTTCACATGAAAAGGTATAAAAGCCCACAAACCTTGGCCTCAAAGAAGTCCCTCGCTCCAAGAACGCCCTCGGTGGAGACGTCGATCTCTGAAAGTCGAGCCAGAGCCATCAGCCCACTCTCCTCCTGCAGCTCGCCCGCCGCGGCCCTCCGGAAGATCAGCAGGAACTGTGGACACAGGTGGACAGGTTGTGATTATAGGGACATTTCAATAGCTTTAAAGGTTATCAGCATTTCATGGGAGGGTGCATTTCTATTCAATTCCAAAAATAAACACAAAAGCATATGACATCGGCCGGCATGTCAGCACATAAACTAAAAATTCAGCTGTTTTTATTTACCCACAAAATGAAAAGCACTGCAGAGATTTCCCTTTAAATGATAAGCAATAAGCCCTTTTTATTTAATCGATCTTTAGATCATATCCACACAGAACTGATTTCATTTGGGGGAAGGGGGAGGTCAAAAGTATGACCCTGCTTGGGTGTATGTGTGTGTGTGTGTGTAATCTTATCCATTTGGAATGTCCGTCCAATCTCAAGAGTCAGAGCAACATCTGACAGACAACAGACTCACTGTACTTAAGACACAGCTGCACTATCACCTGTCTGAGTGTGTGTGTGCTAGAGAGGGATGGGGGCTTGATGAGGATATGACAGCCCCACGAGTTCAAAAAGTTACAAAATAATGTCTTAGGTCAGAATTTTTTAATCTTTTTGATGACACGGAACTGCAAATATCATTATCCTTATGTGAGGGGCCTCCATATTAAAATATTAAGGGCAACCAACTTTTTTATTTACAACCAACTTTTAAACTGTAGATATAAAAGGGACCAGATAAAGTATACAGTATATATATATATATATTAATAGAAATGTGATTATAATAAAAATAGCTAATTGAATTGTTCATATATTCTAAATTGGATTAAAATGAACAAATATTATAAATGGTAATGTCTCTCTCTCTCTATGTGTGTGTGTGTGTGTGTGTGTGTTTTCTACTCACTATTGTAATGTACAGTTGAATATATTATTTACACATTGTAGTTATTTATTTGTATTCTTTTTTATTATTCCTTCATCAGAATTATTTTAATCTAATTTATTTATGCGCTTATTTAATCTTATTTATTTTTAAACAGTATTTCTCTAGACCCCGTCAGCGTTAATTTTGACAGCATATTTTGATTTAGTTTCAGTCATAGTCTTTTGACTAAAATGCCATTTAGTTTTATTCATATTTTAGTTTTAGTTTTTAGTCTGAATTGTTTTAGTTTTAGTCTAGTTTTAGTCGACGAAGTTGTCGTCATAGTTTTTGTCATTCAAAACTAGTTTTTATTTAGTTATCGTCTCGTTTTTGTGTCGTTGACGAATAATTTTCCTCATTATTTTCGTCAACGAAATTAACACTGCCCCATGTTACCCCCTTGCGCCCCCCCCCCGTTTGAAAACGTACAATATAATCAGAAGGTGTTTTTGTCGATTATAGGTATTATTTGTTGATTCCATACAGACCTTATTCAGAGCAGCGCCATGACAGGTATGAAAGTGAGGCTGTGAGGGATAGACTTACTGTGTTTCCAATGGCATCCGCTGTAAAAAGCTGAATAAAGCGGCTAGATTACTTACAATTTTCCACAGCTTACATTGTCAGGAGTTTTTTGTCAACCGACATTTCTTGGAAAGATATTTTTCCAGTGTTTCATGAGCAGAACAATCCGAAAACGCATTAAATAACAATACAGCCCATTGAAGAGATGCAAGTCTATCCCTCACAGCCTCGCTTTCATTCTCATTAAAAATCAAAGATGGCGCTGCCGTGAATAAGGCGTATACAATACATTTTAAGTCATTATATAGGTATGGAAGTCAGTTTTAGTAAGTATTACTTCAATCCTTAAAAAGTTATATATTAGAATATCATAGAGACCGTTGTGTGTGTGTGTGTGGTTGCTAGGCCGTCTATGGCCATGTTTACACCTGGTATTAAAGGAGTAGTTCACTTTTAAAAAACTCTTGCTGATAATTTACTCACCCCCATGTGATCCAAGATGTCCATGTCTTTCTCTCTTCATTTGAAAAGAAATTGGTTTTTGATGAAAACATTCCAGGATTTTTCTCCATATAATGGACTTCATTGGGAACCAAACGGTTCAAGGTCCAAATGAGAGTTTCAGTGCAGCTTCAAAAGGCTTTAAACGATTCCAGATGATGATTAAGGGTCTTATCTAGCGAAACGATCGCTCATTTAAAAAATAAATAAAAAAGTTTACGTTTTATAAGCACAAATGCTCGCCTTGCTCTGTTCTGTTCTGTTCATTCAATGAACGAAATGAACCAAATGACTCGAAAAAAGATTCATTCATTTTGATGAACGAATTCGAAATGAATTTGAAGAGTCAAACAAGGCGAGCATGTGTGCTTATAAAACTTAAACTTTGTTATTTATTACTAAATGAGCAATCG